ATTGGTTCCTATCAATAGGTCTTTTATCTCTCTTTAATAAATCAATAAATGATTAGTACATTAACTTGTGAATTGCTTATAATTATAGAAATATGCAAATTTTGTTTTGGAATTCTGTTTTGAAATGACAAAAAATGTAAAATAACATACTACAAAAAAAACTAAAACCTATATCAAAGTATGTACACACACACCCACAGACATACATACACTCAAGCTAAAATACTACATTAAACTATTGAGGATGGATGGACTGCAGAGCTGGACAGGGAATACATTTTTTGTCAGTGTCAATGCATCATAAATGGTGAGGGGGAATGCCATTTATTATGCTTCTACTAGCCTTTTTGCATTCAATAGATCCATCTCGGATTGGTTGTCCAGCTGCACTCCAGAGGTAGGACCTGCAGAGGGGGTTGTTTCTACAAGCCTTTCCTTCTCCTTTGGGGTCAGGGATGCTGAAGGATCTACTTCAGGAGTGGATATGCAAATCTGGGGGTTTGCTATATCATCTGTGGAACCTACCGATTCAGTTTTATGGGCATCAGATGTAGCAACATTTTGTACAGTATGTGTTTGATCACTTGGCTTGCTGTTAGTCTTGGGTTGAGATGTTATAACTGCTTGTGGCTTGGGTGGCTCTGCCTGCCAAGGAAAATTTATTTTTGTCCCAAATAATGAAGTGGTTGGTGGCTCTTGTTTTCCAGCAACAGGTTTTTCCTCTTGAAATAGGCCACCAGAAAGGGTTTTTAATCCTGAAAACAGACCACTGCCCCCTTCTGTTTGAGGCATTGACAGACCACCTGATGGCATTGTTGGTGAAAATAGGGATCCAAGAGATTTTCCTGCATCACTCTGTGTCGATATAAAACCAAACAGAGATTTTGCTTGAGGGGGTTCTGCATTGTTGGGCAACTGATTAACTGGAGGAGCTATATTAGTATTGGCTTCTTGGGTTTCAGGTGGGACTGATTTGTCACTTTCTTTACTCTCAGGGTCTCCTTTAATGACAATGGGCTTTTCATGTATCACCTCTCCCTCAACAGCTGACTGTTCTTTTTCAGTGTTATCTACCTGTTGGGTGAGGTCACAAGAAGTGCTTATTGGAGCACTTGTGACAGCAGAGGTTTCCGGACAAGCTGTCTCAGATGCCACAGCACTACTACTTGTTAGGCTGCTCGACTGATTTTGATTGTCACCTGGTAGGGTTGAGTCCACAATTTTATTTGTACTAGTCTCTGTGCCAGATGGAGATACTTTAGGTGGCACACTTTCATTCTTAATCTGTGGATGTGGAGTAGTGCCAGGTCTTGGCTTGGGCTCTGCTGGCATTGGTTCAGATGGCTTGGGTGGTTGTCCCATACCCCCAAATAAAGATCCGCCTATGCCCCCAAGTATAGATGCTCCAGTCTGTGGTCCTGAAGTCTGAGCAGAGACTCCTCCAAACATTCCTCCAAGTAAAGAACCACCAGGCTGTGATGTTGTTGTAGCCCCTCCAAACATACCACCTAGTAATGATCCTCCAGTCTGGGGACCTACAGATTTAGCAGTGGATCCTCCTCCAAACATTCCGCCTAATATTGACCCTCCAGTGTTGGGGGTGGTGGTTTGAGGACCAGACTGAGGAGCAGACCCCTTGAATAAGCCTCCCAGTAATGATGCCCCTGTCTGGGGAGCTGCTGTCTCTGTGTTAGACCCACCAAAAATACCTCCCAATAGTGATGCTCCAGTCTGACCAGTAGCAGCTTGGGGTGCTGTTCCACCCAGTCCAAAAAGTGAGTTCTTCTGCTGTTGTTGAGGACCTTCAGGTGGTGCAACTGATGGTTTGAAAAGGGAAGACATAAAGCCTGTAACTGTGTCTGCTGACGAGTCACCAACAGATTTCTCTGGCTCTAGAGGCTTTTGTTGTCCCTGGACCACAGTATTGGTTGACTGAGAGGCTGGTGTTTCCTGTTCTACTTTAGGTGATATTGTATCTTGACTTGACTGACCACTCACAAGTTCTGGTTTTGCAGGTTGTTGTGCCTGTGCACAGATGACAGATTCTTTAGACTGAATATCATTAGCCAAAACACTTGGCTTGTCAGTATGTTGGCAGTTAATGTCTTCTATGACACTGGGATCAGCTTTGGGTAAGCTTGTTTCAAGATGCTGAACTGTACTGTCAGGTTGCTGTAGTGCTTCTCCCTGCTCTTTGCTTTTGGTAGCAGTATCAATTACAGATGTTTCCGGACCAGCTACAGCTGAAGCAGTTTTACTGTCATCACTGGGTTTTGGTAGAACAGTTATATCTGAAGTGGTAAGAGCTGTAGTTAACGTTTTGTTGTCATCATTAGATTTTGGTGTAGCTGCTGGGGTGCGTGTTGCAGGTGGAACAGATCCTCCAAGTGTTGAAAGTAAACTTTTATCAGGCATCTCATTAGAAGCAGAAGCTCCAGCTAAAATGCCACCAGAAGGAGATTCACCAGTCTGTGCAGTAGCTGTTTGAGAAGACAATCCCCCCAAAATACCTCCCAATATAGAACTATTTGGGGATGCTGAAGTTTGGTTTGCAGCCCCACCAAACATTCCACCGAAGGACCCACTAGTCTGAGGTGCTGTAGTTGAAGTTGCTGATCCTCCAAAAATCCCTCCCAAAATAGACCCTCCAGTCTGAGATCCAGTAGCCTGGGGAGCAGATCCACCAAATAAGCCTCCAAGTAAGGATGCCCCTACCTGAGGTCCTGTCTGGGGAGCAGAGCCTCCAATTTTAGTGGGGCCAACTTGAGGAGCAGCTTGAGCAGCAGGCCCCCCAAATAAACCACCCAGTAATGATCCCCCCGTTTGAGAAGCTGTTGTCTGGGGTGAAGAGCCTCCAAACATGGATCCTAATAGAGAACTTCCAGGCTGGGAAGAGGGCTGAGGGGCAGAACCTCCAAACACAGAGAACAAACCTTTGGCTGGTGCATCCTTTGGGCCTGATGATCCAGGTGCAGACCCTGCAGGTGATGGACCTGCAGTGCTGGGCCCAGAAAATAATGAAAGCAAACCTTTTGCTGGACTATCTGAAATGAATCCGGCTTGTGAGGATGGAGTCTGTGGGCCTGATCCACTGATCATAGACAAAAGGCCGGGAGCTGGTGGTTCTTTAGAGGGAGCAGGGTCCTGGGATGCACCTTCTGTGCTTCCTTCCTTTTGCACAGTGACACATTCTGTATTTGGTGTTGTATCTAGAGTAGTAGCATCAGTAATAGTATCAGTGGATGGGCCGACATGTACTTCACTTGATGTGTCACTGGTAGCTGCTGCCACTGGGACATGGCTACTGGAAACAGGTGGCGTTTGGGAAGAACCCTGTTGTAAAGAAGTAGTTGGTGGCTCTTTAGTAGCAGATGATGAATTGGGAATTTGTTGTGGAGGTGACACAACATCATTAAATACAGACAGTATACTCTTTGCAGGTTCTTTGGGTGCTGTAGTCCCCGGGGAAATAGACAAATTTGCACTTCCACCAGCCCCTGTTGTTTGAGGAGCACTGGGGCTACTAAACATAGAGAACAAAGCTTTTCTTGGACTTTCACTAGAGGTAGACAAGCCACCCAATATTCCCCCAAGAACAGAGGTGGCTGCCTGCCCTTGTGCTTGAGGTTGTGCTTGAGGTTGTGCTTGAGGTTGTGCTTGTGGTTTAGATTGTATCTGAGGTTCCCCTTGTAGTTGAGTTTGGGATTGAGCTACTCTTTGTTGAGATGACGATGTTGGTGGCGGAGGTTGTGGAGGACTGGGATCACTAAACATTGACAACAGTCCCTTCATTGGGCTTTCAGTTGAGCTTGATGACCCAGGCAGAATCCCCCCTAGAAGAGATCCTGTTTGGGATTGGGACTGTTGAGGGCTGGGACCACCAAACATCGAAAGGAATCCTGTATTTGTGGGCTCTTTTGGAGGAACATTTCCCTGTTGTGGTACCTCAGCAGCAGGCTTGGTTTGAGGAGGAGGCTGGGGAGGACTTGATCCTCCAAACATTGACAATAAACTTTTACCAAGAGATTCCTGTTGAGGAGTTTGTGGAGCTCCACTTGATGGATATGCCTGAGGCAAGGGCCCAGTATTAGGTGAAGGCTGTGGAGGATTTGGCCCACTAAACATT